ATATATATATATAGTTGAGTCTAAAAAGTGACTAGGCAAAGGAGACAAATCGGTGGAGTTGTTCACACAATTCATGAACAATCTACTTACAAACCAGCATGCTCATTGCTCAAGTACCACGCAAAACGGGTGTTTGAAATCCTTTTTGGTTGAATTTAAATGAAAAATATAAAATCAAATCATTTGACTGAAATCAAAAGCAGTGGGAGATTGTAAAAATTGAGGTCACTACGAATTCGTCTTGACCAACATGTTCCTTTACACATACGATGCCAATAATCTAAACAAAAATCACGTTATTTTAAATTGATATTTACTCAAAATCAAGTTCATTAAATATAAACTCAGATTAATTCGAAATTAAATCCAGACAACGGTCCAAACATGCATGATATCAAGCAAACAAACAGTTTGAAAATACATCAATGTGAAATGACCTTGTCTAAAAGCTTAACCAATAATTAAACTATTGCTGCACATTGACGTTAACCAGAAAATTTTCCATATCATCTTCCGGTTCTTCCATTTTAGGTCTCCCAGCAGTTACACATGCACACGCATAACGCTTGTTAAGGTAAATCACCAACAATACGAAGAAATCAATGATGAGAGATAGGACAAGAGCCGCCAAGGTTGTAAACCAAATGAGAGATAGGTTGAACAAGCCACAAGTCACACTAATCCCAGATGCCTTGGCTACCAAAGTTGGAGTATAATAGAGTGCTCCGAAAATCAACTTTAGCAAGAAAATAACCTGATATACAGGTTCTAGTGGACAGATTAACAACAAAATCAGCGGATAGCAAACCATGATCGTAGTCACATCTATAATCTCTTGAATGAACTCATCATATGCTTCCTCGAAGTTCAGCAGTACTGGTGTTGATCCATCATTGGTATTTCCCAATTTCAAACCGAATTGAGCGATCAACTTATCCGCTTGATATTTTAGGAAAGCAAAACCCAACCCAATCAAAACCCATCGAGCATAAGGAGTAATACTCAATACACTTGCCATTATGAAAGGAACAACTTTCCAGAAGCTCAACGGTGGGGGATTCATGTAAATATTTTTAGTACGTGCCTGACAAAAGCAAAAAACTTGATCAAATAGGGCAATCTTACAGTACATAGAAAGAAGAAAATTACACACCACCGTCACATCAATTCCTAGAATTTTTTTTTCTTCTATGTCTTCAAAACGCAGTTTTTTTCTTTCTCTAGTAGACATCTGTTTGCAAACTTCAAAAAAGTTACCTCCAGAAGAGGGGAGAAGCACCCGAGATTAAAAATTTTCTACTATTTTGATTCAGACAACTATTTTAGTAATAGTTATTGTTATTTAATTATCAGATACAAAACACAGAAGCAAGTCAGAGTAAAATATTTTTGAGAGTTAAGAATGAGCCTACAAGCTTCTGTTAAGAAGTTAATATTCTGTTATCCCAACAGATACTGCAGCTGTACTTGATAATATTGTTATCAAAACCACCATAAATATCATAAGATCATCTCATCAGATGTAAAGATTCAAGAAATGAATGAATATAAATTCTTTCTTGGTATCAGAGCAACCAAGCCCTAAAGGTAACAATTCAGTAAGCCTTGGCCTCCAATGCTAACCCCTCTCAAAGGAATGATCTCCCTTCAACTGTTTCTGTCAAGTTGGACAGAGACAAATACCTATTATGAAAGTCCCTTGCCTTGCCACTGATTAGAGGGAGCAAGTTCCATGGCTTCATTATTGGGACAAAGAAGTTTCCTGAACAATTTATCTCTGAAGGTTCCAACAAGAAGACCAATACTGCCAATGAAGAATGACAAACCAGTGATCAACAACTTCTTAGGTGGCTGTCAATGCCATGACAGTATACGCAGCAAAACAACTACTACACTGAATTGCGAAACTGCAAGAGCATTGGGATGAAGCTCAAAGCCTAGCTGGTGTTTACACCAAGTCTCCAGTCACCCTATTGAAGACTGAATTTTACAGATCTCGCAAGGGATCATTGAAGATGGAGGAATATTTGATCAAGATGAAAACCTTGGCAGACAAAATTGAACTCGCAGGGAGCTCAATCTCAACTTCTGATCTGATGATACAAATTCTCGCTGTATAGCCTAATTGTTGTTCTATTATCTAACAAAGAAAACATGACTTGGGTTGATCCGCAGGCTCCACTTTTGGAGTTTGAAAATAGAATAGAAACATCTAAGCATTTTTTCAAATCTCATTATCAATGCTTCTGCTAATGTGGCTA